CATCTAGAGAGGTTTAAGGGATCCTCCATCTAGAGAGGTTTAAGGGATCCTCTCTCTAAAAAGGTTTAAGAAATCCGCTTATCATGTTAACAGAGAAACCACAATAAGAATCTACAATTTTCAAAGGAAAACACATGGATATCTCCTTTACTCTAGACTAAACAGAGCTTTAAAGGGTACAGTGAAGAATATAATATGTTTTTCTGTGGTTTAGGACACTTGAACTAACTACAGCAGTCCCTTCAAACGTCACCTATAAGTTATTCCAAAATATATCGGCACATTGTTGAAGCAGTAAGCAACATTTAATATATATCATCCATACCACTTAAACTAAATTACAGGTAAGGTTGAAAATTTATGCTTCTCCCTTTCTTGAAAAACTGTTGAGAAGATTAAATATTGTTTAAATGTATAGTCTTTCAATTTCAACACTTTTGATGCTTTGACCGTGTAGTAAAGCATCCAAAGTGTAATTTGAAAGCATCATAATCAACATTTGAAAGCATCATAAGCAAGGAGCAATCAAATTTGATGCCTTAATCACTTTTTTTAAAGAAAATATTAACTTCCCAGTCAAATTATGACTTCATAAGCTAAGAATTAGGAAGCATTGTTTTTCCCTGTGCTTTTCAGATGGATTTAACTCCACAAACATTTCCTCATTGGTTTTAAAACAAGAAGAAAGAAATTCTTAATATTTCAGGTCAAAAATCATTTTTGATGCTTTTCAGAAAAAACTGAGAAGGGCAATTTTTGGCAAGAGTCAAACTCTTATACAAAATTGAACGAGAAAAATGAGACTTAGAAATGATTGTGACTTATAATTTGAGACTTAGAAAGTGTCTTAGACATAATTTTGTCTCCAAGAACAGGCTTAAACATATTTGTGACTTGTGCCTGTGACTGACAATGTGTTTTAGACATGGTTAAGCCTTACCAAGCATGACAAAGGAATAGTTTTGTCACAAGAGTTGTGTCTTATACATAATTGAGCCTTTAGAACTACTGTCAAGTGAACAAGACAAGCTACTGTAGAATACTGTCTTTCAAATAATATACAAAGAGTCTATATACTAAGGTGAATTGTTCTAGAATCAGGCTGCAGTACACACAGTACTGCAGTATGCAGATCAGGGGCTCCACAAGCCCACAAATGTGACTTAGACATGATTGGGACTGAGAANTCCCCCCCCCCTCTCCCTCTCTTCAGTTCATCCCCCCCCAGACAGATATTTAGATTCCAGATAAGTTTTTGGTTTGTGATTCATCCATTAGACCCCATTATAAACCCATTCATTCTAATACAGAGTTTATCCTTGGTTCAGTCTGTAATAAATACTTATATTTGTTAACCTGAACATACCTAGATATACATGAGCTACGTTACATGATTAAAACATGCATTGTGATTAGATGAACTACTTTTATATCTATCCATCTTCTAAATACGTACATTCAACTTAAACAGTGCTGTAAACATGTGTGGAGATAGCTTAACTACGTTATATCTTAGTTATCTTTAATTCCTTATTTTATTGCTTTTTTAAGGTTCACCAATTTTAGTCTTCAAATTATAGTCGTTTCTTTTTGCATTCATTACTTTTTCATCCTGTATTCATTCATTCAACTTTTCATTTATTTCTGTACTATCCATTCATCCAATGAAGTATATCTCTAACCAGAACCTATCCCTGCTATTTATCTAAACCCTTATCTAGTTCTACCACCATATAGATATTGCTAAAGATGGCAATAGTATTTTATTGACTTTTTAACATTTAAGTTTTGTGAACTATTAAGAGGCTTCAAAGGAATCTTTAAGTTTATCATATTTCGAAATGATATTCTTTCACGGGCAGCCGTAGTACATTTGAATTTCCGAGCCGGGTCAACCTTGCCGGTCCCAGTTTGTACTCTGTCGCTCAGACATTGGGTAAATAAAGCAGACACTCAATAGGACTAGCGAGTGCAACAAGGTTGACGCGGTCAGACTTAAAGTTGAATTTACTTTTACTTAAGGGTCAGGGGTGCGTGCTTTATAAATTTGCTTTTTTTCATTGTGCGAAATACGTAATCTAATAAAATAAAGTTATTAACAGTAATCACAATTTTGCCAAATAAAACAAATAGATCAAAATATTTTGAAAAAAAAATAAACATCTTGTGGAGCTTCAAAAAAGAAAAAAGTATGCCCATCTCTAGGTTATTGGTAAAGTTTTGTATAGGTTTACGTGTCCATAAGACGAAACTCAAGTGCTAAACTTTTAAGATTTTCTTCTCTCATGGTTGTCTATATTAGCCAATAAATAGAAACACAAACTATGCAATACTAAAGGGAGTGTCTGCGAATGATTAAAGGTTGTATAGGATAATATCGAATTAAATTCAATGGCGATTGCTACTAATTTTGTTGCGTATATAAGTTGAGAACGTAAGTAAACGTAAGTAATTAAATGAAAGAAATTAATCATTTAAAAATTTCAACCTGTAAATGTAGATTTCAATTCGATGCATTCCTTTACAGTTGATATTTCATGATATTTATTTTTTATTTTTTATGTATGAATTGGATGCTCTGAATCAGCCCCAAGTGAAATTCAAAATAAATTTCCAAACTGTATTGATTGATGGAGAAATCTATTTTTTATGAATCCTGCCCTAAACTTCTAAACTTCCCTTTCGATACCATGAAAATGTGTCCTAGACGTAATTGTGACTTAGAATGTGTCTTAGACAAAACTTTGACTTAGAAAAGTGTCTTAGACATGATTAGGTCTATTGAGTTTGTCTTCAAATGGTGACTTATATCTTGAAATGACATTTTTGATGTTTCCCTATAGGTTAAAGATATTTTATGTTTCCCAAGTACCTGGAGAAGAGAGTGGAGAGAAGGAAGCTCAGCATGATGGTTGACACTGTGTAACACAGCATGAAGCAGAACACTAGATAGATAGATAGATAGATATGTATCTAAGATAAGATAAGATAGATAGATGTAGATAAATTTGTTTAGGATTATATACAAATAAAGTGAAAGTGAATACATGTAGATAATAAGGTTATATTACAAATTGAGAAGATATTTAATAAACAACATTATTAATATTATTTACCTAATATATAAATATATTTAAATATGTTTATTTGTAAAGGAATTTCATATAAAAATATTGAAATATTTATATCGTCACTTCAAATATTATAATTATCTTATCTTAGATAGATAGATAGATAGATAATATTAGATAGATATTAGATAGATATATATTTAGTTATATATATACTAGGCTTTTAGAGCACTTCTATCCCATTATCTATTTCAATTGGGAACATGTTCTTTTAGTATACATTGTAAAACAAAAACAAACAAAAATTTCGCGGATTTAAAAAAAAATTCGTGGATTTTCAAAATTTCAAAAAAAAAATAGAATTTTTTTATTCGATCATCTATAAACCTTCCCTTCCTTGGGTCAGGCGAAGTCCCAAGACCAATTTGGGCCCAATCGATTAGGCTGTTTTGACGTTTATTGGATACGGCAAACAGACAAACAATCACCCAGACAAGCAAAGTATAAATATAGATATGTTTATGTTAGATATGTTTTAATATGCTTTGATATTTGGTGTGTACATGTCTGAATATTACTTTAAACTCTAGTTAAGCGAATTAATGTATAAACTATTTTGCATATGATAAATTCGCACCCTGATCTCTAATCGTTCTCCTTAAATCTATTTAATTGAAATATTTTGTTATTATTACTAACATTAGGTGGAAAAAATAATCAAAACAGCCAAGAGCTATTTTCTACCTAATTGCTTTATACTTGTACTGTTAATATAATCATCAATTTGTGATTGTAAACTCGTTCTGTACATGTATTTTAGCAATAAACTTTATCTTATCTTATCTTATCTAGATATAGATAGATAGATAAATATATATATGATAGATGCATACTGCATGATAGACAGATAGAAAGAAATGTAGATAGATATATAGATAGATAGATAAATATATATATAGATGCATACTGCATAGATAGATCGATTGATAGATAGATAGATATATAGATAGATAGATAGAAATGTAGATAGATACAGAGAGATAGATAGAATTACCAAGTGTAGGGGCTGAGTTCTCCAATATATTTCCATACTAAATATATAAAATTGTATTTATGAATAATTTAGAAAACATTTTTTTTAAATAATAAAACTTGTGAATGTTCCCTTTAAGGCTTTAATAATGATAATCATTGCAAGCTATCCCTTTAAAAAAGTTCTTACCACAAGTATAATGGTTAGAAGAATACAGGAGAGAAACATGACGGAAAAACTGGCAGAATCAGATATATTAGTCGACATTTCAGATATATAGCAGCTGTCTGGTGGTCTAGCTGTCTAATTGTCTAGCTTTCTAACGTCAATCTTTCTAGCTGTCTTGTTGTCTTGTTGTCTTGTTTTCTAGTTGTCTAGTTATCTAGCTGTATAGCTGTATAGCTGTCTAGTTGTCTAGTGGCCAGTTTGTCTAGTTGTCATGTTGTTTTGTTGTCTTGTTGTCTAGATGTCTAGATGTCTAGACGTCTATAGTTGTCTAGCTTTCAAGCTGTCTAGTCGTCTAGCTGTCCTGTTGTCTAGGTGTCTAGTTATCTATGTGTGTATGTACTAATGTATGTCTGTCTGTCTATCTATTCTATGATGTCATTTTGTCTATCTATTCTATGATGAAGTTTTGTCTATTTGTTCTGTGATGAAGTTTTGTCTATTTGTTCTGTGATGAAGTTTTGTCTATTTGTTCTGTGATGAAGTTTTGTCCATCTGTTCTTTAATGTCTTATTGTCTATCTGTTTTTTTTAAAGTAAAGAATGTGTCTATGACTCTGTGTATCTGTCTATCTGTCTATATGTATATTTAAAGTAAAGCATGTGTCTGTATGTCTGTGTATCTGTCTATCTGTCTATATGTATATTTAAGAAGATTGCAAGTATAAACCTAAATATAGAAGAAGATTGCAAGTATAAACCTAAATATACAAGAAGATTGCAAGTAAAAACCTAAATATAGAAGAAGATTGCATGCAGTTATACACCTTAGAATCAAGACGTTTGCAAAAGAAAACCTTAGTGTGCAAAAAAAATTTTAATCATCCTAAGATTGCAAGAGGATTGAAATTATAACCCTGCAACACCAAAACACTTACATTTCATGGCTAAATCATAAGAATATTTCAAAAAAATTTGTTTAATATTTGAGACACCTGACATACTGTAAACTGCGGCAATGTTTAGTATAATCAAGATTATCAGGTTTCCACAAAACATTATCATCATGTCACTCACTGACTCACTGACTTACTGACTTACTTACTAACTTACTAACTTACTAACTTACAGACCTACTGACATACTGACCTACAAACCTACTGACCTACTGACCTAGTGACCTACTGACTTACTGATTTACTGATTTACAGACCTACTTACTCACTCACTGACTTTATTACTCACTTTATCGCTTACTCAATTACTTCCTTAGTACTCACTTACTCACTTACCCTCACACTCACTCACACACTCACTCACTCACCCTCTCACTTACCCCATCACACTCTCAATCACTCACATTCTCACTCACTCACTCACTAACTTTCTCACTTACTCACTTACTCACTCACTTACTCACTTACTCAATTACTCACTTACTCACTTACTCACTTACTCACTTACTCAATTACTCACTTACTCACTTACTCACTTACTCGCTTACTCACTTACTCACTTACTCACTTATACTTACATTCTCACACTCACTTACGTAGTAACTCACTTTCTCATCGATTCACTTACTCACTTACTCACTTACTCACTTACTCACTTACTCACTTTCTCACTTACTCACTTACTCACTTACTCACTTACTCACTTACTCACTTACTCGCTTTATTCTTCTCATAAATTAACAGAATCACTAGGTCATTGACTCACGGAGTCACGGATTTTTTACTTTTTAATTGGAACATTATAATCCAATATACCAATATAGGTAAAAATAACTTTTTAACGACAAATATAAATAAAAAATTATAAATAAGACTAGACCTGTCTTCTATATAGCAGGGGTATGGTTCCTGCTGCATAAATATTCCAGGTAAAGATGATATGTTCCGCCCTTAAACAAATCATTTGAATTAATGCCATTACTTTTTATACTTTAAGGACAACATTTGAATTAATGCCATTTCTTTTTTTACTTTAAGGTCCACATTTGAATCAATGCCATTGCTTTTTTACTTTGAGGACCACATTTGAATCAATGCCATTGCTTTTTTACTTTAAGGACCACATTTGAATTAATGCCATTGCTTTTTTACTTTAAGGACCACATTTGAATTAATGCCATTACTTTTTATACTTTAAGGACCACATTTGAATTAATGCCATTGCTTTTTTACTTTAAGAACCACATTTGAATTAATGCCATTGCTTTTTTACTTTAAGGACCACATTTGAATTAATGCCATTGCTTTTTTTACCTTTAACCACTTCATTTGAACAAATGCCGTTGCTTTTTTACTTTTAAGGGCCACATTTAAATCATCCAACAAATTTAAAAAATACGAATTATAAAATCAACCTGTATGAATGTGAATTATTGCTCTTTCTACCAAATCTTGGAGATAACTGAACCCAAAATAGAGATACTTCAAATCTTCATCAATCATTCATTTATCATAAACATTTTTTAAAGAAAACTAATATTTGATTTTTTGAAAAATTATAAAGAAATTTACGAGTAATGAATTATTTCCTATGCCAGGTCTTCTTCTTGGACCTCTCCTGAAAAATATGTTATTACAAGGACGTAATTTTTTCATACTTTTTATCTTTAAAAATCTTACATTGTTAGCCTATCTTCTATTCGTTTAGTGCTGTCCACTTTGTCAGCATCTATTCTGATTTTGTAGCTCACAAACCTCGGCAGTTTCATTAGATCTTAAATAGAAGACGACAAATTAAGTTCCGGTAAAAATTGTACGGGGCATTCATGCTAAAACTTAAAAATACGCAAACTATACCTTCAGTTATATCGGGGAAGACGAGACCTGCCCACAGCTGATTAGTTGCAATGAGTTCAAGACCACGCTTTTCTAATGCATGTTCTGAAGAAAAAATCAGGTAATTAAAAAAATTATTGATTTCCTAGATTTTATGAGTGTTATCACATTCTAGTTAAATATACGAATTGTAAATGTCAACGTTAATCGAATTGAAAGTCGAAATTTGAAAATTGCAAAACATTGTAGCAAAAAATAAAATATTCTAATTTCAACAGTAAGACCCCTTAAACTATCAAACACGAAGACGACTATCAGACCTTGGTTATATGATTATCCCCAAAGCATGAAACACAGAAATTGCGAAGTGCGCACAGACCCACTTCACTAAAAAGTTTATTTTCTTGCTACTGGTAAAACTATTTGCTTTATAACAACATCAATTATACCTAGATTGCTTAAATATCGTCTTCCTGCTCCACAGTTTTATGGTTCTTACTGTACTTCAATCAAATCTTGGTTTACCTGACGAAACAGCTTCAAATTTTTCAGTTTCAAAGCACTCGAGGTAGTTAGAAACATTTTTAATAAATTCGTCAAGTTTAATGAGAGTACTATTCCAGGTATCACTAAAACAGAGCACACTTTTGGACATATATAAAATCTAAAAAGATTCAGGTTTATGAAAAAAAAACTTTTTCCATCTAAATTTAATGTTCCATAAAAGAAAAGAAAAAAATGATTCGACCTTCCTCTTGCTTAAAGATGTTAAACCCTCCATAAATGTTGAATATTTACCTAAAGTTTCCGTTAAAATACTTCTCTAAAGTGTTATTGATATCAGTCTGATTTAAGGTTATGTTCTGAAAATTAAAAAAATTTAAGATTTTAGTTTCTATCCACAGGGTTATACCTACACAGAATGAGACTCTAATGACGGGCTAAAATTCTTTGATAATGACGAGCTGAAAATTGAGTTTGAACTTTTCTAATTAATTAAAATTACATGCAATGATCTGCCAAGTTTTCAGCTGCAGGGTGCCTGGTTCAAGAAAAGGCTGAATAATTCGTACAGTCGTCTCTGAACTCTCATACTTTGTGGAAAACCCTGTATCTTTCTCTCTCAGATAATATGAACGTTTCCATCACGGGCAGCCGTAGTACATTTATATTTCCGATCCGGGTCAACCTTTCCGGTCCCAGTTTGTACTGTATCGACTGGACATTGGGTAAATAAAGCAGGCACTCATTAGGACTAGCCGGTGCAACAAGGTTGACGCGGTTAGACTTTAGGCTGAATTTGCTTTTACTAAAGGGTCAGAGCTGCGTGTCATTGGAACTGACGACTATCCTATATTGGTCAAATCAGACTAAAATACCTTTTGGCCAAAAAAAACCTTTTTGTAACTCTGCTTTAAAGCGCGTATCCATATGTGATGTGCTTTTGAAATTTAAAACAAATAACTCTATATTTTTCTTAAAATATTTTTCAATAAGAAAAAGATATTAACAGAGTGCAATTTTTTCGAAAGCTCCAAAAACTATTTTTTTAAATGTTTCCCCGTTTTTATTAATTTAATAAATATATTGATTTTAATACAGTGAAACCCTTAATAACGAATACATCGGAAGAATTTATCAAATGTCGTCTTGACAATTTTTCAATGAGTTTTATACTTTATTACGTAAATTTCAGTATTTGCGAAAATAAATAAATAGCCATGAATATGCGGGAACAGTTTTAAAGAGTTCCATATAATCATATAATTAAAAAACTAAATATTCGCAACATTCCATTATCAGAAAGTGAAGAATACGACATTTGATGAATTCTTTCGATGTATTCTTTATTAAGGGTTTCACTGTACATATATTAATTTTAATAAAAATATAAATTTTTATTTTAATGAATATATTAATTTTGACAAATACATTAAGGTTAATAAATATATTTTTTGATAAATTTATTCATTTTTCTTGAATTTTACCTTTTCTTCTCCAAGCTGGAGTGCGTATTGGAATGGTCCTTCAGGGCTTGTGAAAAAATTCTAAAACAAAAAAATAATGTTTTTTTTTCTCCAAAATTAAGACAACTTTCAACTATTTTCTATTTAAAAAAACTGTTGGTTTTAGTTTTCATTGTGATTCAAAATTCAACATTTTTTTGAACTCCTTCAATCTAAACATAGACATTATCATGGACATTGTCATGGACATTATCATGGACATTATCAGGGACATTATCATGGACATTATTATGGACATTATCATGGACATTATCATGGANTTAATGGTCTCACGCTCTCAAGCAAAAATCGTTGAGAATTTTGCCAATTACTTCTAAAAAACCAAATCTAACAGAGTTTTGAAACATTGCATAAGGTACTGAGTTTTGAAACATTGCATAAGGTACTGAGTTTTGACCCAATTTTTAATATTCTAATCCCTAGCTTTATCTTTGCTGCCTGATAGTGTAAACCTTTTACCTTTCAAACCTTTTTAATCTAACAGAATTACTAGTTTAAAATATTAAAGGTCTACGAGAAGGGATTAAAAAACAAAGTTTGTGACAAAAACTAATTTCTTTTGCAAATTTGATAAAAAAAATCAATTTCCTTTACTAAGGAATTGAGTCGTAGCCACAAACTCTGATTTTCCAATCCTTATATCTTTACAACCCAATGTTGAAGATATTTAAAACTGTAAATTATGTTAGATTAAGTAGTCAAAGTATGAAATTTCAAAAGTGTACACCATAGGTTGCAAAGATATAAGGATTAGAACATTTGAGTTTGTGACAAAATCTCAATTCCTTTAAAAATAAGTCCTAGGTTACCTTGATGCTCTCTTGATTGTTAGGATCAAGCAGGAAATCTTGTAAAACAAGAGAATAGGAAACTGTCCAGTTCCTAAACAAAATATCCAATAAAGGGACTGTCCAGTTCCTAAACAAAAATATCCAATAAAGGGAGTTCCTAAACAAAAATTGTCCAGTTCCTAAAAAAAATATCCAATAAAGGAATTGTCCAGTTCCTAAAAAAAATATCCAATAAAGGGACTGTTCAGTTCCTGAACAAAAATATCCAATAAAGGGACTGTCCAGTTCCAAAACAAAAATATCCAATAAAGGGACTGTCCAGTTCCTAAACAAAAATATCCAATAAAGGGACCGTCCAGTCCCTAAACAAAAAAAATCCAATAAAGGGAATGTCCAGTTCCTGAACAAAAATATCCAATAAAGGGACTGTCCAGTTCGTAAATAAAAATATCCAATAAAGGGAATGTCCAGTTCTATAATAAAAATATCCAATAAAAGGGCTGTCCAGTTCCTAAACAAAAATATCCAATAAAGGGACTGTCCAGTTCGTAAATAAAAATATCCAATTAAGGGAATTTAATTGTCCCCAAGGGTTGAAAATATCACTTACTTTAGGTAGAGTTTAATTGTCTCCAAGGGTTGAAAAGTCCGGTTTACGACTTCGACCAATCTCCTAGAGAAAAATAAGAAAAATTAAAAACAAATATTTTTTTTTAACTGATTGATTGTGTGCCGAAAATTATGAGTAATTTTTTGCCCTGGGCTGCGAAGGTTAACCTAACCTGGTAGCGGGAGTATTTGCCTCCCCCTTAACCCTACCTGGTAACGGGAGTATCTGCCTCCCCCCCCCTAGGCTGCAAAGGTTAACCCTACCTGGTAACGGGAGTATCTGCCTCCCCGCCCACCCTGGGCTGCAAAGGTTAACCCTATCTGGTAACTGGAGTATCTCCCCTCCCTGGGCTGCAAGGGTTAATCCTACCTAGTAACTGGAGTATCTGCCACCCTGTGCTAACCCTACCCATGGTAACGTGGAGTATCTGCCTCCCCCCCTGGGCTGCAAAGGTTAACCCTACCTGGTAACAGGAGTATCTCCCCCCCTGGGCTGCAAGGGTTACCCCTACCTGGTAACGGGAGTATCTGGAGTGTAAAGTATTTTGCCCCGGATGAAAGGTTTAACTTGGCTCCATAGAAACTGTATTCCTCGGGAGCCCTCCAGGGTTTTTATCATGTCATTGCACATCTAGATGGATATTTTACACATTTAGAATATAATTATTATCTAGCGAGATATATTACACATCTTGATGGATATATTGCACATCTAGATAGATATTTTACACATTTAGATTATTATTATTATATAGAAAGATATATTACACATCTTGATGGATATATTGCACATTTAGATAGATATTTTACACATTTAGATTATATTTAATATCTAGAGAGATATATTACACATCATTATGAATATATTGCACATTTAGATAGATATATTGTACATCTAGATAGATATTTTACACATTTAGGTTATATTTAATATCTAGAGAGATATATTACACATCTAGATAGATATTTTACACATTTAGGTTATATTTAATATCTAGAGAGATATATTACACATCTAGATAGATATATTACACATTTAGATGGATACATTTCATATATAGATGGATATACTAAACATCTAGATAGATATCACTGCGATTTAATGGTCTCACGCTCTCAAGCAAAAATCATTGAGAATTTTGCCAATTACTTCTAAAAAACCAAATCTAACAAGAAGTGCTTTACATTGCTAAAATGTACATGTAAAGGGCTACAGAAAAGCATAAGTGAGTTAGAGCGGTAAAATCAAAGCTTAGGGCGTTGCGACACTTCAAAGTCAGCCCTGTCTTAAAAATTGATGAGACTGTTTATAAGGAGGCTGAATCTATGTGATATATTGCATATCTAGATAGATTTATTGCACATTTAGATGGATATATTTCATATATAGATAGATATATTACACATTTAGATGGGTACATTTCATATATAGATGGATATACTAAACTTTATTATTCAAATCTATTTATTGATCAAAAAGTACAGGAACAAAACTTTATATATATATATATCAACGATATGTACATTTTGATTTTTTGATTTTAATAAATGTGTAGACGAAAACAACAAAAAACTATATCGGCAAAGATTAATAAAATAAAATAAAAATAAGGATTGAAATTATTAGAACCTGATAAGTTCTGATGGATATACTAAACATCCGGATAGATATATTAAATAGAAAAATTGTAAACCTAAAATATCAAAAAATAAAAGATTAAAAATACCTGAGTTGTAGAATTATCAAATTTATATTTAGAATCGTCATCTTTCTTCTGAATTCTGTCTCGTAGCTCATCAAACCTATACAATCAACTCGAGTACAGGACTAGGAAGCTGGAAAGTCGATTTATTAAATGAAATAGATCTGAGAACACTGCACAATTGCAGCGTTTCATGTTGAAATATTCAAAATTATTACTTAAGTCTAGCAGTCGTCTTAATATTTCTGTAGCGCGCCCCCACAAGGGAATATAGCACGGGAAAGATCCCCCCCCTCCCCCTTCAACTTAATGTGTAGTATACGCCCCCACTGGAAAATGTAGCAAGGGAAATCCCCCCCCCTCCCTCAACTCTCTGTGAATACCCCTCCCCCTTAGTTGGGTATTAGGGGGGTCGACCTAAATGAGTTTATTCCATAAACCTCTTATTTATGTCGAATAAGGCTTGGTCGCTTATGTTTTCGATAAAAATTTCGACCGAAAACCCGCTATTTCATTGAACACTCTTAAAATAGGATTTTTCAACACATTACTCTGACTAAATTAAGGTTTTGGCGTGCTGCCGCCGCCCCTAAATCTTTTCTACATGGCTGTTATAATCTATTTATATATTTAGATTATCCCGAAAACGCTGTGCTTTCTTGTGCTTTTCTTATAAAATATATGTTTTTCTTCCAAAAAGCTCACTGTAACAAAAACGACTTCTAAATATATTACGGGATTACAGGATCCATTCAAGGTTAAATATATTAACGGGAAAAGTACTGATAAATTGAAATCGTTAAAAATCAATGCAAGCTACAATTGATACAATGTTTGTGAATAAAAAGCTTATCAGAATATATTCATTTCCTCAATTCTCATCATGAAACACAAGACAAATGTATTTAAAGAGGAGTAATGTTGCAAAAACCAGTCCTACCCATGGTAACGTGGAGTATCTGCCTCCCCCCCCCTAGGCTGCAAGGGTTAACCCTACCTGGTAACGGGAGTATCTGCCTCCCCCCCCCTAGGCTGCAAGGGTTAACCTCGTGATAGTCCGGAAACGAAACTCAAATCTGAAAAAATCGAAAAATATTCAAAATGTGAAAATTCTCCAAATTTACTTTTTATCGTGAATTTTTAAATTTACCGGTGAAATTGGAACTTTCGTTCCCTTCTTCGCCCAGCGTAGGTGCCTGAAAACTAGAAATATCCTGAACAAAAACACTTTTTAAATATTTGTAAAATCATGATGATATTTGTTCCGAATTTGTTAATTATAGTTAACTACCAAGCTCTCTTTTATCATTATAATTATTTGATAAACGTGTTTCCTTGATCAAACTTGTTAACTCGTTCAGAACATCTTCCAGGTCACTAAAAGAAAATATCAGTTTACAAAATAGTATTGGTTGTTTTTAAAAACATTAAAAACTTCATACCTGTTTGTGTTATAATTTAGATTTTAAAAATATCATAAATTTACTGTTGGAAAATACCAAAACGCAAGAAGTAGATGTACTTTGTATAGTTACGCTGAACCAATTCTCTCGTGCGCAAGTTCAACATCAAGATAAATAGCTCACTATTTATCAAGCTTGGTCTTTTGATGTATTAATATGCCATTGAATCAACACTAACATTAAAAGCGAGAAGCGGCCTTTTATATAATAAGAAATAGACTAAATTACGGGGTTACGCAGAAAGGATGAGACTTCTTTTGCATTAAGTACATGGCCTACAAGGGTTAAACTTAATGATGATTTTGCGATGGTAGTAACTGCTGAGCTGCTGCAGTACAATAAACCACCTTAACCTGTGTGGGTAACATTGTACAATTAAAGAGACTGTACAAGAATGTGGAAGATAACGTCTTTTTTCTAACTCGGAAAGTGTTTATTTCTGTGAATTTTTCCATTGTTTATGCAAAAAGTACACAATGAAAATAAACATTTAACAGTAAACAGCACCGTTGACAATCGGGCATTGCCATCTTTGCATGGAGGGTCAATTGAAATTATTTAAGTTTTTTGGATATTCTACCTGACAAAAGCCTGAATGGATTCATATTTTGCCAGCTCTGTAACAAGAACAGTTGAAACCTAGAATACGAATAATGAGCGGACCAGAAGTAGAACTAAAGAGGAGGGATTTGGGTATCTATATATATAAATATGTAATTTCTGTTTTTTGTATGTTCGATCATAACTCAGGAACCGCTTGACCAATTTGCCTCAAACTTTAATTGAGGAACACAGGAGAACTGCAGATATTTGTTCTTAGCTAAGTTTTGAGATTCTAAGTAAAGTGGGTCTACTTTTACAGGTAAAAAATAGCTAAACTCGCAAATTTAAGACCAAGAGCGCGGGCAAACGGCACGAGTAACGATGAGTAACTTGGGCAATGCTGGGTTCCCAAGCTAGTGTTGATATAAAATTGTGACGTATTAGGATAGCTTAGAAGCTGGTTTTGTTAAAAGGAAACAACAATTTGTAAACAATCCTTCCCTGTCAAGGAGTACGGAATAGAAGGGAGAAGGAATCGACCCGGCCCGCCCTATCATATGATTATACAATACATGCTTTGTACTTCGTTTGAATATGAAATATTTGTCTGATGTACAAATACCGCGTACATGTATTCAGAATAGGTTATTGTTTACATTAAACACGGAAAAAAGTAGGCTGAATAACGCCAAACAAATAAATTTTTGGGATGCAAAAAAATGGCAATACAAACATATCTTTTTATTATATAAAAAATCGGTTTTTAAATATGGTATAGTTAAAAACCATATCAATACCGTCTGAAAAGCATGCATAATCAAATGGTAGGACGGGCCGGGTCAATTCCTTCTCCCTTATAATATTTCATACTTCTTGTTCCTTAACCATTGGAAGATTTTAACCCTTGTTTTCAATCTTTTTCATTATTTTGATAACACTAGGACCGAATTTAATGAATTTCAGAAAGGTTCTGAACTTCCTACTGCCGGTTCAATCTTTAATAACAGGTTCAAAGTCAACGATTCATGAGGAGTTAAGCGACCTATCAGAAATTCATTAAATTCGGTCCCAATGAACTAGTTCATTTTATACTCCTAGAGATATTTAAACTTTAAGAATTTGGATGAGTTTGAACTGGTTCAAATTAATAAATTGTCAATTTAAAAGTTTTTACCTTCATCATAATATTCCAGTCCTCAAAATGTAATTCTCCTCCACTATTCAGTTCAATAAACTTATTCATCTAAACAAGATCAAGATCAAGATCAAGATCAAGATCAAGATCAAGATCAAGATCAAGATCAAGATCAAGATCAAGATCAAGATCAAGATCAAGAACAAGAACAAGAACAAAAACGAGAACAAGTAAAGAAATAAAACAAGTACACAAAACCAAGAACATGAACAAGAACAAGAACAAGAACAAGAACAAGAACAAGAACAAGAACAAGAACAAGAACAAGAACAAAGACAAGATCAAGGAAAAGAAATAAAACAAGAACAAGAACAAGAACAAGAACAAGAACAAGAACAAGAACAAGAACAAAAACAAGAACAAGAACATGATTAAATTTTACCTCTTCTTGAAGCACGGTTTTGTTAATATTATCAGCAAATATGTTCGCGGCTGTTAGAGTGTCAGAAACGGATAGACTGAAGGAAAAAAGGTTAGATTTTTAATTTTATAATATTTCAAAGGTTGAAGACGATAAATTATGAATTATTGAAATGTATAAGGAAAGATGTGAGGAGTGGATTCAAATTAGATTAACACTCAAGCTAAATATAATATTCAAATTGAAAACTACCATGAGATGAAAACCAGAATCAAAAATATAAAATTTAAGATGAAAACCAGAATTAATATATTAAATATAAAATAAAAAACCTGCAAAGTGAATCCAGAATTTCTTCTAGGTCTGAACTCGCGATATTAAGTATGAATCTACAAAAATAAAAATAAAATAATTTAAAAAATATTACTATCAATTATAGTCACACACAAATATGTTCATAAATAAATCTATAAGTATGTAAAAAATTAAGTTCTTAAGCAATTGAAAGTCCTATGTTTAAGTCATAAAAAATCGGGATCAATTGTTTTTAACTTAAATATTGTTTCTCTTGTAATAAAGTAAAAAAGTCATGAAAAAGTTTAGAAAATGTATGAGAACCGGTTTTAGAAAATTAAAACTTTTCCCGCATTTTACTTTTGTAAAACTGAATGACAAGGCAATTTTTTTTTTAATAATGGCAGGTTTTGAAGCAGATGTTTTTAACGATCAATTTAGAATTTGAAGGAAGGATCTTTTTATTGTGAATTCCTTTAAACTCCCCTATCCGAACTATATAATTTATGTTAACCCGTTTTTTGAACTTTGTAAATGATTTATGGTGTTTTCACGAATCTACTTTCCTGTTCTAAAGATTAATTAAAATTAAATTATTTTTTTATGAGAAAGGAATTGAGTCTTTGTCACAAACCCTGATTTTATATTTGCTACATATTTGCAAACCATTGTCGTAGACCTTAGATATTTCAAACTATGAATTCGATGTTAGATAAAATAATCTAAATTTGAGATATTAAAGGTTTACACCATCAGATTGCAATGACATATATTAGAAAATTTAAGTTTTTGGCAAAGACTCAATTCCTTTTCTTACTTTTTTGTGAGAAAGTTGCTTACTTTTTTGTAAAAAAAAGTGAATTGCTTTTTTTGTGAGAAAGTTACCTACTTTTTGGGAGAAAATTACTTCTTTTTTGTGAGAAAATTACTTACTTTTAATAAAAAAAAGTTACTTACTTTTTTGTGAGTGTTATATTGCAAAGCGTAAGTTTTGGATTCTGCAGGATCTGGTTAAAATGTTCTAAAAACAAGTTTTTTTAATTTCCATTTTTGTTATTTCCTTTATGCTTTTTTGACAGTTTTGCCAATTTGTCAGGATTTATTTAATATTCGAAATAAATTTCTATTCAAGAAACTTTTTATTAAACTTATTTTTCGCTAAATAATAAAAGGTATACATTTTCATTAATCTTCCAAACTGAATGTTTTCTATTACATATTAAATTGTTCATTCATAATACATTAGCATCACGTCAAAAAAGTTGTAAGAATGCATAATAACGGGGAAAATAATAAATTTACAAAAGGAATTAGAGAATCAGAATGATTTGCATGATTAGGAACTAATTTTGAATGTTTATCCCACAGAAATCGTGGACCTGTTAAAGTTTAATATATGAGTTTAACATTAAAATTGTCACTTTCATTAATATAAAAAGTACGTACAGTGCATGGGATCCATAAAAGTGTGAAAAACTTTATTATAAGTAAATTTCTAGAATTAAAAATCACAAAATAATCCTTGTCTTGGAATTTCCAAATTGTGGTCTGCCTTTTTTGTGCTTTCTATATTTCCGGAGATAAGTTGAATTTCCTTCAGATTTCGACATTATTGGTTTATTTAATAAAAGTTAAATCGGAACGAAATTCTTAATATCTCCGCTAATATTGAATGCACAAAAAAGGCAGACCACATTTTGGAAATGCCAAGACAAGGATTACTTTGTGATTTTTAATTCTAGAAATTTACTTATAATATAGTTTTTCACACTTTTTGTGGTTATTGTTTCAGGAATCATAAATGTTAAAGAAGTTTGAAGACTGAATGTCACAAATAACTTCAAAGTTGAAAGATGTTTTTCAATTCGTCTTGCTAGTGCCATGTCTATATAGATAGAAAAATAGAGCAGTTGAGTTTTAGCCATCAACTCAAATTTTCTAATTCCTGTATGTATCTTTGCAACCTATATGGTTTAAACCTTTACTATTTGAAACTGAGATTATTTAATCTGAACTTATTCATAGTTTGAAATATCAAAGGTCTACGACATCGGGTGGCTAAGATTTAGTGATTAGAAAATTAGAGTTTGTTGCAAAGACTTAATTTTATTCTCCCATAGACACAGAATTTATTTTAAATTCCAAATCTTTCATATAGCAATGTAAAACCCAAACTATAATCCATAATAAAAACATTCACATTTTCATAGCCCAATATCATAAAGCTATGCGACAAAAAATCACAATTCCGCTTTTCTGATATTTTTCTAAAATGGTGACCCGACTCAACGAATAACATTTTTTTATTGGAACTTTTTTTTGACCCCCCCTCCCCTCTAAAATTTCTCCCGAGTCCTCTTTGCAAAATTTGTATTAAGAGTGCTGTGTATTTCAAGTATAAAACTGTGTATATTGTTTCTATAAATACAAAACAATTAAAACAAAACAACTGTCTACCCAAACTGAATTTATAAGAGGCTTAATAAGAAAAAAAACATTTTAAGATCCACAGTAGTCCAACATCCCCCCCTCCCCCCTTTAGGGTTAGGAAAAAGAGAAGAGCGCCTAAAACCTTTTTAAATTTCCCCCGCCCATCTTAGTCTTAATTCCCCCCCTTTCCTTATTTAATTTTTCCCTAGAGCTGATTATGTAACGTGAAGAAATTTGTTTACAATCATTCTTTACAAACAAATCAGAGGATGGAACTCATAACACAGATATAACGTTTATCTGTAATATCAGAAGCAGAACGCGATAGCTCATTTAGTGCGATTCAGTGCTTTATACTCCCTTATAACAGAAGGATACGATGAAATTTATGCAACCTTATTGGTAAGATTGTGCTACCTCAACCTTATTGGTAAGATTGTGCTACCTCAACCTTATTGGTAAGATTGTGCTACCTCAACCTTATTGGTAAGATTGTGCTACCTCAACCTCGCAGCTTCTCAAGTTTTGACTATGAGAAGCTGAGTATGTCACTTTTAAAATTTACTTTCAAACTTTGAAAAAAAACATTGTCATTTATTATTGCCACCACGTCGGACCGATTAGTCCTTTCCGAACGTGTTTGTTAGAACCAATAAATTAGTTTTGTTCACAAAAAAAGTTTTTTTTATAAAAAAAACCTATTTTTCATTGAAAAAAGTAATTTTTATACAATACTTCATTTTGGTTTAAATTTTTTTTTGTTTTGTTCACAAAAACAAGTAATTTTTTTGAGTCAGTTGTTAAATTTTAGAAATAAAATATTATAATACTTTTGTTATTTATATATGTTTGAAAGACAAATTAGCAAGAGAAATAAATCCTACCTTCATCTATAAGTTCTGGTTTAACATTGGCGTCAGCTAGCGCTATAACGTTGTTCGGGGTTAACGTTATATTCCTGAAAAAAAACGTAAATTAAATGAATAAATATAACAGCAGAAAAATTAAGTTTAAATTTAATATATTTTGTGAAATTCAAAATGAAAATTATAATCATGATTGGATTTACTGTGATCTTGATTGTGATAATGATCATGATGATGATCAAATTGTGAAAATTACAATCATGATCATGATAATGAACATTTAGTTTATCATAAGGATTAAGACAATAACGCCAATTCTTATGATAGAGAAGTATGATGACGATGAATACCATGATTAAGATAAATATGATAATCTTGATAAAGAAAAAAATTATGATGTTCATAATTAAGATGGTGATAATGTTTTGATAAAAGTAAAGATGGTTATATTTATCATGACGATGATGAAGATAGAAGTGGTAGAAAAATGATGAAAATAACGCTGATGATATTAATTATGATGCAGATAAAGATGATGAATGACGATTGATGAAGAAGATGATGAAGATAATGAGGATTGATAATGAGATGATGATGGATGATGTTCATTTTGAAGATAATAAAGATAATATTGATGATCATGACTAAGATGATAACGATGATGTTCATGTTCATGTTGAAGATAATAAAGATGATGTTGATGATCATGAATAAGATGATAACGATGATGTTCACGATGATGTTCATGTTGAAGATAATAAAGATAATATTGATGATCATGACTAAGATGATAACGATGATGTTCATGTTCATGTTGAAGATAATAAAGATTATGTTGATGATCATGAATAAGATGATAACGATGATGTTCATGTTCATGTTGAAGATAATAAAGATGATGATGAAGATCATAAGAATATGATGATGATTAAGATAAGGATAATAATGCTGATTATGATGATGTCCATGATGAAGAAGGTAAAGATAATGTTGATAATCATGAAGAGGATGCTCTTCACGGTGAAGATATTTTAGATAATATTACTGATTATGATCATGAAAAAGATGATAACGATGATGATCATGATGGAAATAAACCTGATCTCCATGAACCCTTCAAGCTCCTGCAAGAATGCCTCCGGGTTGTTGAACAAGCTCACCACCTTTCCCAACTCAAACCCTACAGAAAAGAATATTGAATGAAGACGACTGAATACTCGCCTCAACCTTTAGGTTCTTAATCCCTTTATCTTTGAAACCTGATGTAGACATGTACACCCTAAACTAAGCTTTTGGTGCGTACTGCAATGGTCTGCAGTACACTGACCGAAGATATAGTGGGGTTTACTGGAAAGTGTATGATAAACTAGGAATTCTGCCAAAACATAGGAATAAGAAAATTTGAGTTTAAGCCAAACAGTTTGTTCTTTTATTCGAATTACAGAATACAGTATTGTACAATAAAAGTAAAGTTGTTAAGGTCGATAACTAGCATATCCTGTAATGACCTTAATCGTATTTTTGTATACTTCAAGTGTGGGATGATCTGAATATTTCCTACAAAAACATACAAGAACAAATTTACCCATACCAAACTTGAAAACAATCTCTCTTTAATATATCAGAGTTAATTGAAGATCTAAAATGCTTTAAAATCGAACAGTTTAAAATAAGAATAAATTTTGATATTAAACCAGTGGTGGCTTCTGGGAGGGGGNGGGACTTTTCCCCTCAATGGAAACAGAGAATGTGCCTCTGTAAAAAGTTGGGGCTCAACAAGGGAGTCGGGTCATTTTTTTATCAATAAATAGCGCGCAATATTTCAATTATATTAGGAATACACTGCGTAGTAAAGACAGTTATTGTTGTCATGCTTTTTTTTAAGAAAAACCTGGGAAAAGGGGGGTTGAATTTGAATTGTTCATTTTTGGATTTAAAGTCTCTAAAAGAAAACATACTTTTACTATGTTATTAGGTTTTTGAATAAAATTTCAAAACTCATGTAATTTTAGACCCCCTGGGGCCCAAAAACCGGGATTCCCTACAATCTACAGGTTGTGTATGATTTGACCGACGCGGCGCAGTATTTAAAGAAAATTAGGGATTTCAACTCCGTAGTAGACAATTATTGTTCATGCTAGGCGCACAAATATTACACTTTAAAGGTATTTTAATAAGTAATTATAAAAACTTAATTTTTTTATTAATAGATATTAGATACCATTATTATTAATGTTATTATTATCATCATCATTAATTCCTATTATATTAATTTATTAATACTAAAATTTTTAAATGTTAAAGGACCTGTAAGGGTAATTTCAAGTAATCCTCCATGCAAAGATGGCAATGTCCGATTTACAACGATACCCTTGAAACTTTGTCTGATCAAGTACGAAATAGATATCAACGTTTTCTGTTTCTCGGCGAAGGTTAATTTCGCAATTCATGTTTTTAAGAACCAATGCAAAAACCCACAGAAAAAAAAACACTTTTCGAATAAGAAAAAAGATCCGGCAACTTCCACATTTTTCATCAGATTAAGGTTTGAAAGGTTGAAATTTCGATTACTGTCCCTTAAAGCGTAATTACTATACGCTATCTATCTATCTTAACCTAACCTAACCTGGGTGTTAATCTACAAAGGGGGGTGGGGGGGGAGGTCTTAAGTTTTCATAATAAACCAAAATGTCTAATTATAGATGCGAGTTTTCCTTCTACTCCTACCTCTCTGCCTCGCTGTGGTAAGCTACCCGATGGAGGAAGCCGAGAAGGAGTTCATCGAGGAGAAGGAGGTCGTTGACCTCGATCTCAACCCTATCAGGGAGGTCAGGGGGGTCAATCAGGTAGCTGAACCAATCGTAAAGGAGGAAAAGAAGATAGAGGAAAAATTACTGAAAAAGGAAAAAGAACTTGAGAAGGAAATTTCCAGAAAGAAAAGGGAAATCGACCTACCAATGATGCTCAGAAAACAGAGAAAAATCGAGGAACCAATGGTGTTAACAAAGGAGAGAAAAATCGAGGAACCATTGATGCTCAAGAAAGAAAGAAAAATCGAGGAACCAATGATGCTAAAGGAGAGAAAAATTGAAAAACCAATGATGTTAAGAAAAGAGAGAAAAATCGAAGACCCAATGATGCTAAAAAAGGAAAGAAAAATCGAGGAACCAATGATGCTAAAGGAGAGAAAAATCGAGGAACCAATGATGTTAAGAAAAGAGAGAAAAATCGAAGACCCAATGATGCTAAAGGAGAGAAAAATCGAGGAACCAATGATGCTAAAGAAGGAGAGAAAAATTGAAAAACCAATGATGCTGAGAGAGGGAAGAGAAGCACATCATTACGACTATTACTATTACTAACCAAATTTTTGAACAATATATAAACTTCTGTACATGTCTTTTGACTAAATGGATTGCATTAAGCATAAAGCATAAATGCGCAAATATTAAAAGAAGAATGAACCCTCATTATTTTCTTACTTATTCTGTAAAAGTTATATATCTAACATTTTTGTATTTTCATTATTGCAAATATATTTGTAAAAAAGGATCAATTCGTGTGTATGAGAATAATCGAGAGCCAGAAATGCTATGCATGCAATTAAGTAAACAAAAAGTACAATTATAAACAAAACTTTTGTAAATCTTAAGAAAATTTGTATTCCGCATTTTTACTCTTAATTTCTTGGGTATAAAAAGTTTCCGAGGAAATAACTGATTATTCCGCGGATTTTCATGAAATAATTTTTAATTTAAATAATTTTTCTGGAACTTTAATTGAATGAATTCATATATTCAACCGTTTTGAGGCGTCGTTTGGGAAAATATGTTTTTGTTGCAATTTTTACTCTTTTGGGGGTTGATTTCGATTTAAATTCAATCCCTCACAGTCTTACAACGTTCGGGATTAAAAAAGTAAAAATTCCGGTAAAGAAAAACATATCGTCCCACATGATAACACAAGACAAATGCACAAAAAGATATTTTATTTTAGTTAATTTTTGATTTGATTTTTTTGGCAATTGAGTTTTTTCCACAAACTCTGATTTTCTAATACCTTTATCATTGGATCCCAATGTCATAGACCTTAGATATTTCAAATTGTAAATTCTGTTAGATCAAATAATTGAAGTTTGAAAATTGGAGTTTGTGGCGAAGACTCAATTCGTTTAAAGTTGTACCATCAAGTGGAGGTTGAACATTTCCAGCTTTAATCCTGTCTAATACTTCCTTCAGGGTTCCCAGGTCTTTAAACACATTAACCAGAGCCTAAAATCATTTCATTTAATTATCATTATCATTATCATTATCATTATCATTATCATTATCATTATCATTATCATTATCATTATCATTATCATTATCATTATCATTATCATTATCATTATCATTTTCATTATTATTTTCATTATCCTTATCATTATCATTATCATTATCATTATCATTATCATTATCATTATCATTATCATTATCATTATCATTATCATTGTCATTATCATTATCATTATCATTATCATTATCATTATCATTATCATTTTCATTATCATTATCATTATCATTATCCTTATCATTATCATTATCATTATCATTATCATTATTATCATTATCATCATCATCATCATCAGCATCCTTATCATCATTATCACTATCATCATTATCATTATCATTATCTTATGATTACCTGTGATTTCTCCTCTGTATCAAAGGTAAGAAGAAGCGTCTCCTCTATATCGTCAAGAAGTTGGTTTAAACTAAACAAAAAAATTGATGTTTTTCAACTTTTTGGTAAAATTATTTCATGAACTTACTAGGACTCATTGTATTTCTCTAGTCCTCTGGGCTCTGTCCAGGTTGTTCTAAATTAAAAAATAATAATTTTCGGGAAATGTTGTTTCTAAAAGTCGTCTTCTAACAAATGTGAATTTTATTTGAGCAGTGAAATGAGTGAAGTAAAAGCCAATTGTGATGATTTTTCATTGGTATTTTGTAGAAAAATCTTGAAGCTGAGTAGAATGGGTAAATTGTAGAACCGAAACAAATATTTACTAAAATTCTGAACCAAATGGCCGGCACAAAACATAAAAAAGTGAGAAATGGTGACAGAAAATCAAAATGGCTGCAGAACTAAGGAATGCGCGGTATTGTACCTGTGGCAAGTGTTGTTGAATGTACAGATAAAGCTGCGAGTAAACTCAAGAACGCCAGTTGACGGCATAGCCTTCTCTTCAAATGTACCTAACAGAATTTTTTACACTTAAAATGTCTTTTCATGTCCTTTCCTGACATATTCTGTCCTATCCTGTCTTGTCGGGTCCTTTGCTGCCGGTCCTGTCCGGTTCTGCCCGGTTCTGTCCGGTCCTGTCCTGTCCAGTCCTGTCCGGTCCTGTATGGTCCTGTTCGGTTCTGATGGTCCTGTTCGGTCCTGTGTCCTTTCCGGTCCTGTTCTGTCCTATCCTGTCCTTTCCTGTCCTATCCTGTCCTATCCTGTCCTATCCTGTCCTATCCTGTCTTATCTTGTCCTATCCTGTCCTATCCTATCTTATCCTGTCCTATCCTTTCCAGTCAAATCCTGTCCAATCTTGTCCTTTTCTGTCCTATCTTGTCCTATCGGTCCTATCCTGTCTTATCCTGTCCTATTTGTCCTATTTGTTCTAACTTTTTCTATTTGTCCTTTCAGTCCTATCCTGTCTTATCCTGACCTATCTGTCCTGTCTGTTGTTTATGTCCTGTCCTGTCCTCTAATGTCCTTTACTTACACTCATGATGATATTTCTTCAGGTTCCTTGTCCTAACGAGCATGAGAATTATGAAAAGGAAAAGAGGCCAAACTATCTCAACTAATACTCGACCCTAAAATACACAAAATATATTTGTTAACTGTATGATGAAAATAACGTTAAAAACGATATAAAGCCATTTTGAAAATGCTTTAAATTTGCCAGAGAAAAAAATTTCAATTTTAAATTATAAAAAGAAATTGAATTTCTGAGTTTTACTACAAAAACCAAATATTACAATTTATAATTAATATTAATTATTGATTGATTACTATACTCGTTTCTATCCTCTCAAATCAAATAAAAAATCAAGGTCCTACATTATTTGACCCAAATTCAGCCATTTTCTATTAAAAATCTTTTTGAAGTTTTGTTGAGAAAAGATTATAGAAAAATCTCTTTTTAGAGACATCAGGTAAAAATAATAGTGGTGCCAATAAGACACGTAATTGAACTTTTTCGTAGGAGGGGATGTACATTGTACAGGGAAAACAAGGGGTGGGGGGGGGGGCAGGCAGCGCCCTTCTATTTAAAGGCAGAGGTCCAAGGAAGTTATTTGTGCATGCCGCGACAGAAAAGAGCCTGTTATAGCCGCGGCGCTCGACCCCCTAAACTGTCCTAGCCGAGGCGCTCGGCCCCTATCCTGTCCTAGCCGCAGCGCTCGGTCCAGAAAGTGTCTTAAACTGACCTAACGTTGAAATATATACTAATCTCTCTCTTTCTTGTAATTTAACGCGGCAAGCGCACGTAACTTTATTAGGCAACTGTCCTATTTAAATCGATTATGTAGTCTAGTTTTTGTTAACACCTCTTATACATTACACGCCTTTAAGACAAATATTGGAAATATAATTGTGTAAAATTCAGTTCAAAGAAGCATTATAAATTATAGCAGTTCGATATTCAATTAAGTTAAAGAGAATATTAAAATTTAAAAAAAAAATCATAAAAATATTGTAATTTTCGTGTTTACATTCAAATCGTTCTTTTAGCCTTTGTCCTACCCATGAGTATCCACACACAAAAATTCAGCCCATTCGGTCCAGCCGTTTGGCCGGCTATAGGGAACATATACAGACATGTCTCGTTTTATTGTATAAATAAAAGGAAAGATGTTAAAACTGTGGAATCGGAATAGGATTTTCAAAATTCAATTAACATGAAACATAAAAACTTTGCAGAGTATATAAAGATTTAATAAATGTCATCTTTCTATTCCACGGGTTTATTGGTATCTTATATCTACTACTGTGGTACGCCTTGATAACACAAAATATTGGTAAAGTAAATGAGTTTTTGCCACAAACTCTTATAATTTGTTAATCCCTACATTTTAGCAACCCGATATCGTAGACCTTTGATATTTTAAACTATGAATTCTGTTAGATCAAATAGTCTAAGTTTTAAATATCACCACCACCACCAGGTTGCAAAGATATAGGGATTAGAAACTTTAATGTTGTGGCAAACTCCATTCTTCTGCGCACAATAAATAAAAAGTAAAAATTAGAATTTGAAAATAAAAACTAAAAATCTGAAAACTAGCAAAAATAAATCGATCAGTAATACTAGGATGTGAACAAAAATTTAAAAAGTTTAAAAGAATGTTAAAAGTATCAAAAAGTTTTAAAATTGTTTAAACTTAAGTTTGCAGGCGCCTTTTTTCAACTAATTCTAAAAACCCCTTTACATTTGTTAATAAAAGGAATTGAGTGTTTGCCACAAACTCAAAATTACAATCTCTATATCTGTGCAACCCGATTTCGTTGATCTTTGATATTTCAAACTATGAATTATGTTAGACCAAAAAGCCAAGTTTAAAATATGTAAGGTTTACACCACCAGAGTTTAAAGAAATAGGGATAAGAAAGTTTTCAATTGTGGCAAAAACTCAATTCTTTTGCCCAGTAAATAAAAAAGGGAAAATTTGATTTTGAAGTTTTAGATCAAAAGAAAAAACCGTTATAAAAAATGTCATAGAGTATCGAAAAGTTTTTAAAATTGGAAAAAATTGGCCTTAAACACGTTTTCAGGAGCCTTTTCTCCGACTTATGTTTAAGTAAGTAAAAAAAACCACTTGATATTACAGGGTGTCCCATATCATATTAGATAGTCAATCAGTCTAAATTACGATTCTTGAGACAAATCAGAAAATTTAAGAAAAATGAATCATTTTGAAATATTAGAATTTTCTGGCAGAAAATGCTAGGTTTTTTGAGTGTTTTGGGTTTATTTTGGCGGTAAAACTTGGAGATAATCTAATAAGATATGGGACGCACTGTAGTTAAAACAAATTTTAAATCCTAGAAAACTCAGAAAATTTTGTTTTTCTTACCCAATTTCTTCTTCTGATTGTATAGTTCTTCCACAGTAGCATCCGCAGCTGGAGAAAGACCGACATTTTGTAAACAAAAGTCGTCCTTCTGTAAAATCCGATAAAAGATTTTAGCTACAGGGGTAACCAACAAAGGATGAGACTTCAGAGACGACTGTGCAGAATCTGTAGTGTCTGTTCCCTTGTCAAATCATTATTAAGGCCAGTAAAATACATTCTTTAACGCAGAAAACCAAATATGTGTGTCAAATATACGCAAACTGTGTACAGTTATACACAGTACTCTCATGGGAGCAAATATACGCAAATTGTGTACAGTACACAGTACTCTCATGGGAGCAAATATACGCAAATTGTGTTCAGTACACAGAACTCTCATGGAAGCAAATATACGCAAATTGTGTACAGTACACAGTACTCTCATGGGAGCAAATATACGTAAATTGTGTACAGTACACAGTACTCTCATGGGAGCAAGTATTCGCAAATTGTGTTCAATACACAGTACTCTCATAGGAGCAAGTATTTGCAAATTGTGTACAGTACACAGTACTTTATGGGAGCAAATAGATGACCAAGTACAGTAGGTGGCAACAAAGAAATTGATCAATTACGCACGACGTCACAAGTGTCAAATATAACAAGGAAAACGAAATTTTCTCAAGTTAGTTGACATGTTTTCCAAGATTAAATATAAAAGTGTAAAAACAGAAAATAAAGAACATATATTATTGCACTTATTTTAATGTAAGATAAGCGCTTTATTTTTAAATCATCAGTATTATTAATAGTTTTGTAGGACACTAACACTAAGTTGACACTTGTGACGTAAGAATACAGCTGTACTGAGAGTGTACATATTTTGTACTAGAATATATTAGCATGGGAGCAATGTAAACAAATCCTCCACAACTTGTCAACAAAGTTAAAATCTGGAAAATTTTGCAGGCTAAATTTTGCATAGAAAGTTGAGATGGGAAGCTGAAAATTGCCACCTCCTCCAATTTTAGTTATCTACTCGGATTATAAGGAACATTTTGAAAAGACCTCTATTTAGCTCTCAATAATCCACAAACATACTTCCTTGAAATACAAATAGTTGATAAGAAACTTAATGTTTGGTGTGAATGTTGGTTTTAAGGCTCATAGATAGAACCGTCAACTGTACATAGTTTCCGGTATTTAGGCCAGAGCAATTATTAAAAAAAAACTTATATAAAAAGATTTTTTGCAATATATGTTTTCAATGGATTCATAAAAAGATGTAAAAGAAATATCTTTATTAAGCGAAATTTTAAGTGTCCTTCCAGGCAAATAAATATACATTGCCGATTTAGAACTGCAATCCTTGAAATCTCAATCTGCATGATCAATAATGTCGGTTTACTAGGTTTAAAAGTGTTCATTTCTGTTCTGTTCTGTTCATTTTTTCTGGTAAGCAAGAAATGTGCAAATTACTTTTGCAGAGAATCCGCAAATGAAAATAAACAGTTTAAAAAAAAACAAAAACATGGATATCTATTTCATCCTTGATCAGACCAAGATTTCTAGGGGACCCTCGTAATTCGGAGGGTCACTTGAGGGTCACTTGAAATTACGCTCACAGTCCCTTTTATTGAGGCTTAAGTTCTTCACCTTTTTACAAAAGTTATCTTAAATGAGTTGAATTGGGCTGATTCATATTAGATTTGTTTAGGTAAATTCATAAAATAATTTATGTGTAACCGACATCTGTTTTATGCATTTATTTAAGCTGGGGTGTATTATAATAAATTATTATAACGATGTTTTACTGTACATATTATTGATAATCAATGTTTTGTGAACTAAAAACCATAATGTAGGATATATGTATTGAAAAAAGAATAATTTTCTAATAAAAATCAAAACTTTCTCTGAACAAATCTAAAAAGGATTCAGAGGAACTGATTACACGCCTCAAGCTCTGATATTCTAATCTAATGTTCACCAACTTTAATTCGTAAATCTTTAATATTTCAAACTTTGAAGCACAACATGACCCAGCGTAATTCCTAGTTCGAAATATCAAAAGTTTTCATCATTACGGTGCAAAGATATAGGGACTAGAAAATTAGATTTTTTTTGATGACGGTTTTGTCGAAAACTGTGCAAGTGCAACTCTGAATTTTATCTCTTTTGTGTTCATCTTGGAAACCATAGAGACAACCTTCTTGGCCTCCGGGTACACAGAGAAATAGAGGTAGGCAGGAAGAGAGATTCTTAGGACAGGCAGAAAGGAAGACAGACCAATAAGACAGGAAGAAAGAACCAGAGGACAGGCAGACAGGAAGAGAGAAACAGAACACATGCAGACGACAGAGAGAATAAGAGATTAGACACGAAGAAAGATAAAAGAGGACAAGCAGACAGGAAGAGAGACTCAGGGAATAGGCAAGAGAAACAGAGACATAGAGGAAAGGCAGACAGGAAGAGTGAATAAGAGGGCAAGTAGGGAGGAAGAGAAAAATAGTATACAGGCAGGCAGAAATAGATAATCAGAGGACATGCGGGGAGGAAGAGAGAGAATAAGTGTACAGGTAGACAGGACGAGAGAATCAGAGAAAAGGTAGACAGGAAGAGAGAATCAGAGGACAGGCAGACAGGAAGAGATAATCAGAGGACAGGCAGGAGGACAGGCAGACAGGAAAAGAGAAATAGAGGACAGGTAGACAGGAAGAGAGAAATAGAGAACAGGCAGACAGGAAAGAGAAATAGAGGACAGGCAGACAGGAAGATAGAAATAGTGGACAGGCAGGCCGATAGTGAATCAGCGAACAGGCAGGAAGGAAGAAAAAGTAAGGACAGGCTGACAGGAAGATTTAATCAGAAGACAAAGAGATAAATAGATGTCAGGCAGACATGAAGAGAAAAATAGGGGTCAGGCAGAAAGGAAAAGAGAATCAAAGGATAAACAGGCAGGAAATAGAGAAACAGAGGACAGGCAAGAAGCAAGAGAATCAGAGGACGACAGTCAGGAAGTTAATCAAAGGAAAGCAGGCAGAAAGATAGAAATAGATATTAGGCAGGAAGTAAGAGAAACAGCAGGTATGCATTAAGAGTATCAGAGACAAGCAGACGGAAATAGAGGAATTAAGGCAGGGAAGACAAGAAAAGATTCAAAGGACAAGCAAGCAGGAAGAGAAAATCAAGGAACAAGCAGACAGGAAGAACCAAATAGAGGATAGGCAAACATGAAGATAAAAGAAGTGGACAGACAGACATAGAGATTAGTGAATATGTAGACATGAAGAAAAAAAGTACAGACAAGCAGGAAGAGATAAATAGAAGAAAAGGAAGACAGGAAGAGAGAAATAGAGGAAAGTTATGCAATGAAGAGAGAATCAGAAGAAAGGAAGAAAGGAAGAGATAAATAGAGGAAAGGTAGACAGGAAGAGAGAATCAGAGGAAAGGTATGCAAGGAAGAGAGAATCAGAAGAAAGAAAGAAAGGAAGAGATAAATAGAGGAAAGGTAGACAGGAAGAGAGAAATAGAGGAAAGGCAGACAGGAAGAGAGAATCTGAGGAAAGGTATTCAAGGAAGAGAGAATCAGAAGAAAGGAAGAAAGGAAGAGATAAATAGAGGAAAGGTAGACAGGAAGAGATAAATAGAGGAAAGGTAGACAGGAAGAGAGAATCAGAGGAAAGGTATGCAAGGAAGAGAGAATCAGAAGAAAGGTAGACAGGAAGAGAAAATTAGAGAACAGGTAGAAAGGAAGAGTGATTCAGAGGACAGGCAGAGAGGAGAATAGAAATAGTATACAGGGAGACAGGAAGAGAGAATCAGAGGACATGCAGGGAGTAAGAGTAAAATAGAGGACAGGCAGACAGGTAGAGCGAAATAGAGAGCAGGTAAACAGGAAGAGAAAATCAGAGTACATGTAGACATGAAGAGAAAAACAGAGGAAAGATAGGTAAGAAGAGAGAAACACAGGACAGGCAGACAGGAAGAGTGAATTAAAGGACAGACAGAGGACAGAAAGACAGGAAGAGAGAACCATATAACAGTTAAGACAGGAAGAGAGATTCAGAGGACAGGCAGGCAGGAAGGATTTAAAGTTTTAATTTGGTTCTCTGTCTTGAATCAAGTCTTTCAATGGTGTACTTAATGATTTAGCAAAAAACGGAAACAATGTTTACAGTTGCAGTAGTTGCAGAAACCAAGAATTGTCAGAAAAGAGAATCGTCTAAAGCGGAAAGTGAGAATTCAATGGGTGTTGCATCCCTTCCCCTTTGGGAGTCAAGAATTGGGAGAAAACTTTAAAAACCAAGAAAGTACGAATTCCTAGATATGGTTTGTATCGCTTAAAGGTATAACTTATATAAAAACTAAATTTGCCTAATATTCAAGGTCAAAGAGTACGTATAAATATTTTAAAGTAAAGGATAGCTAAATTACAACAAAACAATCGTTAACTGTTTAGAAGAACTAGTATTTATGTATCTCCATGTATTCAGTTCACTGTTTACATAACCACTATGCACTGGACGACCATGATAAACCAATGGTTGCTAAATCAGCTGTGAGAAAGCCGTGTTGTCAAGATATCATAGATAGATAGATAAAAAGAAAGATAGAGAGCTATAGATATTATGCAAACTGTATGACGTTCTGTAAACTTTAAAAATGGTCCAGCGCCAATTTGACATTAGTAAAAAACTAATTTTGATAAAGAAATCATAAAAGCTTTGAAGTTCAACACAAATAAACATTCATTTAAATCCACAAATGTGTAATTTCTATTATTAGCTTCGTCGAAATGAAACTGAGTTTTTATATTGTGCATCTAAAATATTATATATATTGATAAAACCATAACAGCATATATAACATAAATTTAAACGCAACCACCGGCGTAAACGTACTATATAACCTTTGTGATTGATCCAGGTGAATCCCCCCACTCCCCCACCACCTCATTATCGTTTACAAAGCTTCTTGTTTAATAAACTGCCACCTGAGCCCCTATTGTTAAATGTTTTAAAGCCTGTTTCACTATTTTGTATTTCTAATAATATTAACTCTTGTATAACTTCAGCTCTGCACAGCTGAGCGAACTACTCTGAACTAGACATTCAAAGAAATCCGGG